GTGAACAACAGCTCAACCTGGAGCTGGGCTGCCGTGAGTCACCGGCAACGGCATAGGCTGCAGCCCCTGCTGCAGTGAGCTGCCATGGGCTACCATGAGTGGCCAGCAGTCAGCGTGAGTGGCCAGCAGCCGCTGTGAGCTACCAAGAGCCACTGTGAGCAGCCATCCAGAGGCCGGCGACCAATCTGCCTCGCCCGGGAAGTGCGCAAAGATAATACCAACATGGGCCAGTGAAGCGACGCCCTCCACAACTAGACTGAAGAACCAAAGAACAGCAACTTGTCTGTTCCCCTTCCCCGATTCCCCAACACTGTTCCCCTCTCCCAATTCCCCAATAAATACCTTTAAAAAAAAAGTGTCATATATACATTTGCCAATTATGTTTTAAAATAGAAAAAAATGAAAACATAGAAAAGCATAAAGAAAAAAATGCTTCGTTGCCCAAAGTAACTACTGATATTTTGATGCCCCTCCTTCCGATGTGGCTTTTCTCTCTGATGATACATGTTTCACAGAACCGGGAACCCAGATGTGCAGTTTTCCATCCTGCCTGGAGCCTTCGGAGGGAGGCGTGATGAGCAAGCACTTCTACACCAGAGGCTCGTCCCTCCAGAGCCTCGTCCCTCCAGAGCCTCTTGCCGCAGGTGCGTTCGCCTTCTTGTTGGACTTCTTTTCGGAAGGCTGCTGCAAAGCTGCCCCTGCGCAGCCTGCTAGCCCTTTGTTCTCATGACTCCCAGGGGAAATGGTCTTTTCTCCATCTCCTTCTATGCCTTCCCTCTTGCTCAGGATTAAGTCAGAGCCATTTTCCCTCCTTGCCTCCTCTCCCTTCATCAGCACATTTTGGCAGAGACAACCCAGAACTGATCGCGGGCTGTGCTTTGCTTTGCAGTAGAAGTTGCCAGTTAAAACCCTCAAGAGGTTGGTGTGGGGCCAGCGCAGGTTATCAGGGTCACCTTTGCCCTGGCTGTCCTGAGCCAGCCACTTCCCTAAGTGGACATGGTGAGAGTTTGGCCCAAGAGTATCCTGGATTGTCACATGTTCAGAATCTTCCCTGAGGGACCTGCAGGTGTGCAGATCCTAGCTCTGCCGCCTTCTAGCTGCTGCGTGACAGTAAAGTGGGGATAATTACAGCATCTTTTCATCAGATTGTGACAGTTAAATGAAATAGGAAAAGGGCTTGGCCTCAGGCGGCCACAGGAGGATGTGGTAAGGGCAGGCTGTTGTCTGACTCCTTTCTCGCTCTCCCCGAGAATCCTTTCCCAGGTGGGCCCCAGGTTCAGGCCCATGCACATCCACAGGCTGCTGTCCCTCACCATTCTGTGGGTGGTTCCCTGGGGATAAAGTGCTTGTCACCCTTGACATGTGTCTGGCGCATCTGAGACTGCATCTGCCCCCACGCAGGAATCTCGGGCACTGAGTTCATTCCCACGCCCAGTGCAGGGTTCATGCCCATCCACATTCCTGTCTATGCACGTGACGCTGAGGGGTACAGGCGTGGGCTGGGCCCTGCGAAGGCGCTACTCAGCTAGGCAGCCAGGCTGTCGAGCTACCCAGCAGGGACAACAACAAACATGCAACTAGACACCAGGCAGGTGGGACCTGGAGGCAGCGATAGAAGGGAGGCAGCAGAGGTGGCCCAGGGGGGTGGGGAGCGTCAAAGAGGAGGTGTCTGGAACCAACACCCAAGATGGTGGGAAGAGCCCCAACCTGGCTCCTTGTCCTCACCGCCTGTGGCTTGTCCAGATACAGGTCCCAGAGCCTATGGTTCTGGTGGTTCCTGGGAATCTGCATTTTCAATCAGTTCCTCAGTGTTGGAGTCACTGCTTGACCTTGGCAGATTCCCAGGGGAGAAGCTTTGGGAGGAGGCTGTTGTCTGGCCTCCGGTGGGATGGGACAGGCGGGAGCACATCTGGGCGGGTTCAGGAGAGAGTCCAAGGGGACCCGGCACCCATGGGGACTTGCCGAGAGGAGGGCCCATGGTGACGTTCAGGCCCTGCCATGGTGGCCGACAGAGCAGTGGAGCCGGGGCACTTTGGGCTGAGTGGGGAGACGAAGGCTTTAATCAAGCAGGGTGCATTTGTCAGTGAGGTGCTCACTGCAGACAGTCCTGAGGCCTGGGAGTGTCACTCCATTTCACAGGACAGGCAGAGCAGGTGCCGGAAAGCTGGTGTACCCATGGGAGACCCAGGTGCTGGGCGAATGTGCCCCCTCAGGCACCCTTGGACCTTCCTGCTCCTCGGAGCTCTCTCTGGCCCTCTGGCTCCTCGTCTCGCCGCCCGTCCAGGTGCTGACCAGGGCCTCCCCGAGTCAGCTGCCACCTGCTTCAACGTCTCATCTGCTGCACAAACCACACCCCAAAGCAATGGCTTCAAATAGCCCCATGGAGCTATTTCTAGAAAAGCTCTGGGTTGACATGCTCAGCTGGACAGCTCTTGTCTCAGCTGGGGTTGGGCTGAGACCGGAACCCTGAGATGGCCTCCCAGGGCTGCTGTACCCTTGGCCTGTGGTCCCTCATGGCCCGAGCTTCCCTCCCAGAGACCAGGCTCCAGCCCTGCCTGGTCTTCAAAGGCAGCTTCACCCTCCCACAGCTCATGTGGAGAAACGCAGGAGTTATAAGGGTCAGAGTGTCCGTACGGTGAACACATGACACAGCTCACAGAAAGGACACTCTGGGACCTGCAGGAGGCCCAGGTGGCTGGACCCCTCCCAGGAACCCTGGGATCCGGAACTAGGCACAGAACAAGTGGCTCTCTAGCCCACATGGCTGGCCCAACCTGCTCAGCCTCTGACCTCAGGGGACGCTGACACCTCCCCCACAGACATCTCTCTCCTGTCAGCTGGGGACCAAGGCCACAAAGGAAGCCTTAGAGCATCCTGGAGGCTGGGCCTTGCTGAAGAAAGCACAAGTAGTCAGTTCCTGTCCAGCTCTGCTATTTCCTGACTCAGACGCGGCCCAGTCCTCTGCCCTCCTTTTCCTGTGAGGCCCTGACCATCTCGGATTCGTCCCTGCTTGTGGAGCATTCTCCAGAGCATCTGCCTCCCTGAAGGACCGGGACCACCACTGCGCTCAGGGACGGGGATGCCCAGGAAATAATTGCTGGAAGAAAAAATCTGTGAACTGAGGATGAAATGCCCACCTCAGAAGGGGGTTTGTGGGGCATTAAGTGAGATACCATATGCAAAGACAGTCTGACCTCCAGAAGCCACACCAATGTTACCGTAACTGTTTTTGGAATCATAATGCGTGAGGGTTCTTTCCACCAGTGTCATGATGAGCTCCCCCGTCTGTAAGGTGAGGGGTTGGGCTGGCTAGAGCTCGGATTTTACAAGTGTTCTGAGGGCACAGAATCAAGAGCTGGGGTTGTAAGTCTACAGAGATGTTTCCCTAGAAAGTGTTCATACAGTGATTTCGCGTGATTCATAAGAGCCAAAATGTGGGAACAATCAAATGTCCACCATCTGATGAATGGATAAATGAAATGCAGTCCATCCATACAGTGGGATATTACATGGCCATAAGCAAGAAGGCAGTGCTTATCCACGCTACAACATGGGTGGGCTTTGAAACACTGTGCTACATGAAAGAAGCCAGACATGAGAGGCCAAAGATTGTATGATTCCACTGATACAAAATGTCCAGAGTCGGAAAGCCTATAGAGACAGGAAGTATACAGATTAGTAGTTGCCTGGGGTTGCAGCGGGATGGGGGAGTCGGCGTAATAAAGGGTCCAGCCTTTCTTTTTGAGGTGATAAAATGTTCTAAACCTGACTGCAGTGATGGTTGCACATTTCTGTAAGTATACAAAAGCCACTGAATTATATACTTTAAGTTGTATGGTAGGTTAAGTCTGTTTAAAAAAAGAAGAAAGAAAAGGCAGAAATATCACTTCTGGTCATAATGGAGTAACAAGGATGATGGATTTACCAACCCCCCTTAACTAAAAAATCAGACAAAATAAAGGAACACTGGGCTTCAGACCTTGGACTACAGGAGCAAGGCCAGTGACCCCTGAGCGAAGTGGACTCTGCAGCTTCCCACTGCCTGGAGACGGGAACAGGAAAACCTGCCAGAGCCAAACAGGCTCTCAGAATTGAGGGGACCGTTGAGACTTTGGGGAGGACAATGGGTCCCAGGGCAGAGTGCAGGAAGGAGAAAGCCGCCCAGAGGGGGTGTGCAGAGGGTCTTCAGCTGACTAGAGATGAGGTCACACAGGTGAAGGACCAGCAGAGAGGAGCAGGCAAACAGACCCACCGCGTCACACAGCCCCAGGAGCGTCGCACGGTCTGCTCCGCAGAGCAGGACGCCCCGGGGGCCGGAGCAGAGCTGGGACGCTCAGAAGCATAGTGCGGCCGTCCATTCTGGGCAGTCAGCCCTAGACCAAAGGCTGCTCCATCGGGCCCACCTGCCAAGGCCTAAAGGAGAATTAGGCTGTGTCAAGCAGAACAAAAGCATGAAGCTCACAGACACTTAGAGAAATACAAAAACAGAAGAAATCCAGCGCCCTCAAATACTTCTCAGCTCCCCGTCTCCAGCACAGAGCTGCTGCCTGTGCACCCCACCTGCCTCTGCCCTCTGGTTGTAGGGTCGAGGGTCCGGGGGTGGAGGTCGGGGGGGGGGGCCTCTGCCCAGCAGGGGTCCAGGGCCATTGTCCGCTGTGCTGACTGCTATTGCCTTCTTCTTGTTCCCTGCCTCAGTTTCCCTTGTCTACTGCATCCTGGGGTCACCTTCCAAACAAACCGCTTAGCCTTGAATCCTGGGCTCCGTCTGTTCCTGGAGGAACCCATCACCAATGTGAATGCCTATGTGCTTGTACATACGTGTTATGTTTTATGTATAAATCCCAGCTGCACCGCCAGCTGGGTGTGTGACATTGAGCAAGTTACTTCACTTCTCTGTGCCTCAATTTCTGTACAGATAAATGGGAATGACAGTATTACCTGCCACTTGGGGCCGTTATAAGGACTGTCAGTTTGCTGGGGCTGCTATAACGAAGTACCCCAAACTGGGCGGCTTAGACAAAGAAATATATTTTCTCACCGTCCTGGAGGCTGGAATTCTGAGATCAAGGTGGAGACAGGGCTGGTTTCCCCCGGGGCCTCTCTCCTTGGTTTGTCGGTGGCCATCTTCTGCCTGTGTCCCCACATGGTCTTCCTTCTGTGAGTCGGTGCCCTCCTCTCCTCATAAGGACACCAGCCATGTGGGACTGGGGCCACCATCCGACCTGTTTACCTTAATCACCTCTTTAAAGATCCTATTTTTAATTTTTGTTTTACATTTCTTTTTTTTTTTTTTCTGTTTTCAAATATAGTCACACTCTGAGGTCCTGGGGGTTAGGACCTCAACATGTGAATTTGGGGGACACCACTCAGGCCGTGACAAGGACTGAATGAGTTAATAGGGGCTTAGTGCCTGGCACATAGTAAGGGCTAATATTAATTTCTTAAATAAAAAATAAAATTTTCTGGAAGAATATAAGAAACTGCTAACAGTATTACCTCTGGAAGGAGAAGGATTGGGGCTGGGAGACCCTTTGATTTTATACCCTATGTAAGTATTATCTTAATTCCTTAATGATGATAGTAACCCATTCAGAGCACCTGCCCAGGGCCTGGCACTAGTTGGGGTTCTCGGAAGGGGGGTTACTCCTCCCTTCCTGGGGTTCAGACCAAGGAAGGGAGAAAGGGGAGTGCAGCACCCCCTCCCCCCATCTCTGTGCAACCTTTGTTTTAATTATCAGCTCTCATGGAATACCAGCTTCCTGGTTAAACCCAGGGGCCCCACTAAGGGGCTTGGGCTTCAGGCCCAAATGCTCAGCCTGCCCCGCCCCTCCCAGGCCTGGGCCCCTTCTCCAGGCTTGCTTCTGCCCGGAAAGACCCCATCTGTTACCTTCCTTTTTTGCTGCCCCAGGGGTCTCAGAGCCCCTCCACCATCTTGCTGTCCACAGCCCAGGGAAGCCAGGAACACAACTGCCCATTGCTCAAATGGAGGAAAGTGAAGCCAGAGCATCTCCGGGAGTCCACACAGGCTAATAATGGGATCCCTTTGTGCAATTTATGAGCTCCCAAGGTCATTGGAGGTCACTTATTATCCCTTCTAATTGTGGCAGAGGCTGCTCTGGCCCTGGAGGAAGTGGGGCCCAGCCAGGCCCAGAGTGTCCTCCACTGAAGTCTCCCCAGAAATGAACAGGCGAGGAGCCTTAGCTGGGAGGGCAGGCAACCTGGAAGGGATGTGCCATGGAAACACACTTGGGAAGCTCAGAGGCCTCACCCACCACAGGGAACACCCAAGTCCTCCTGGGGCTGGCGACAGCTCCACAGACCCTCAGCGGGGTTTGGGGTCCATCCCAATGAAGAACCCAAGGGCTAGGCCTGTGGCGATCCCAGCAGACAGGAATGGGGAGGCCAGGGCTGGGTCAGGCCCTGGGACACCCTGTTTGCTCTGGCCACGCCACATCCAGAACCACAGCCTGCCACCTCTGGCACTCCTGCCCTGACGGGGAAGGACCACAGGAGGAAAGAGGCAAGCCTGCCACTCTCTCTTCTTATTCCTTACAAGTTAAATTGAATATTTTCCCTTCAATTGGGGTCTTTCGGGCCCTGACAAATAACAGTTACCCATGACTAGTAACTTGGAGCTGCGCCTGCCCAGAGTCACTCACCGAGCACCCTCCAGGCCTCGGTTTCCTCATCTGAGCAATGAGAGGCTGGAGTCTTGCTCACCCTCCATGGCCAGCGTGGGGCACCCACCCTCAGAGCTGTGGTCCCTGCTGGCCCCTGACCCAGGTGGAGGTACAGAGAAGCTGCTAACAGGATCTGGGAGAGGAGGTTGGAACCCCGTGTGCTGGGCGGTGGTCTGTGCGTTTGTGTGCAACTCTACATGCCTGCATGCATGGTGTGTGTGCACGGGGGTTCGCCTGGGATGGGCCACGCCCCTGCGAATGGGGAATCCTGAGGGAGAACTGGACTCATTGCTCTGGAATCCGAGCCCTAGGGGGGGTGGGGAGTGTGTGGGGGGGGTCAAAGCCAATTCTCACAGGAGGGACCTGAAGGTCCAAAAAGACCAGGAAATGGGGAGCCCTGGTGCGCAGGAATGAGCCTGGTGGTCCCAAAAGTGCCCCACGTGCGCCCATGGGAGAATCCACCTCCTTGGAAAGATGCCCAGTTGCCTCCACGTGGATCTGGAGACAGTGGGTCTCTCTTCACCTGAGACTCAGCGAGGCTCCGCCCCACCTCCCGACCAGGTCCCGGTTGCCCTTTCAGTCCTTTGTACTGGGTTAGGTCCCCCTCCTCCCCTAGATGCGAGCGCCTCCCCCATCAGACAGTGCGCCTCATTCGTAGGCGGGAACCCACACTGCCTGAACGCGCAGCCACGTGGCAGGCGCCCATTTCTGCAGAATGAATGTTATTCAGAATCACCGCCTGGCCCAGAGGATGCCGGAGGGGGCCCTGGAGTCAGGTCATTCCTGCCCCCCGTGGGCGGGGTGAGCAGCCGGGTCCCTGGGCACCGCAGAGAACCACTTCGCTCCGCTGTTTCTACAACTGCCCAACCGGGGGACTCCCACCCCAAACGAACCCCTTCCTGCGCATCCCCCACCTCCTAGGTCTGGAAGAGCTCGACTCCTGAGCATTCAGCTCTGCCTTACTGAGCCTTTTCTGGCTTCCAGCCTGGATTTAACGGTTGGGGGTTGGCCGCCAGGGCCTGCGGGGGGCCCAACATCCCTTTGTAGCCCCCATCTGTCCTAGTCAATCTCGGGACTCTCCCCCCCCCCTCCCCCCAGGGACCACCAATCACAGCGAAGGCATCTGTTTCGTCATCAGCAGCCAATCAGCGCTTCCGCAGACCACTCGGGCAGCAAGGTGAGAACCAGGCGCCTCAGGCCCAGCTGCCCCCATCTCCCTGGCCTGGTGGTGCCCCTGCTGCTCACCACACATGCCAGTCTGTCCTCAATCACCAATTTATTGGACACCCAGAGGGCACCCAGTTCCACCCACAAGGGTGTTTTGCTGCTCTGACTTCAGTCTCCTCCTCTGTAGGATGGGAACGCCAGCTCCTCCAGGGGTGCTGTGTTAAAGGGGCTGCAGAAGGGCGAGCTCAGAGACCACAGCCTGCCACCTGGAGTCCCTGCTGCTGGCCACGTGGGGGTTGACTGCACTCAGGACCCAGCTGGTGGAAACGTGCTCAGCTTCTAGCCTGCAAGTGGGAAAATGCCTCCCTCCCTCCCTCCCAGAGGTCCTGCTTTGATTCTGAGGTAGGCCCCCCTCGCCCCCCACCCCCACTCCAAGCTTAGCCATCCAGTCAACTACAGCAAGGCCTCTACCTGGGCCTTCACTTACTATACATCCCAACTGAGGGGGGACCTGAGCACCCCGTTTGAAGGGGTGTGGATGGATGCACACAGGCTCCCTGCATTAATGGGAAGGGGGCAGCCCAGGGCCCCATATCTCCTAGTTCTAGTCTAGGCACACCTGCCCCGCTTTTGTGGGCTTGCTCTCTACATGCAGGCGCAGGCCCACCCCAAACGCCTCCTACTCCAGGCCTGTGAAATATTGGAGGCTGACCCACAGTCCACACCCTTGCAGGGCCCTCCTCTTCTTGGAGATGTCATGGCTGCTCAGACCACCCATTGGAGCCCCGGGCCCACCCCTCCCCACCTGTCTTCATCTCCAAGACACACACAGGCGACCTCAGTGCTGGACTTGCGTTATTTTATTTTGCTCTTTCCAGTCTGAAGCTACTATCATGGGCATTTAGTTATACAAATGACACTTACAAAAAAATAAAAGACCAAGACACTCAGTGAGATGCATGGTGGAGATGAACCAGTCGGGGGGCTGGCAGGGGCAGTGCTGGGAGCCTGGGGCCAGATGGCTCCTCACAGGTTCCCAGCTGAGGGTGACACCCGGCTTCATCCCACCCCGAGACCCAGAGTCCAGTCAGACAAGGAGCACCCATCACGCCCACTGGAGGCTCTGGCTGAGGCAGCGAGGGGCCCAGCACCACCAGGGAGGGACACAAGCCGGGAGCTGGGCGGGCAGGTGGGAGGGGGGCCAGTGAGCCCCTGGGGAGGTGGAGGCAGATTCTGGATTCAGGAAGGGCTCTACCTGCCCCACCACTAACTGGCAGAGAGGGAACCGAGGCCTGGAGATGCCATCCCAGACGCCCCCCCCACCCCCTACCTCCGCCCAGGCCCCTTGAGGACCCCTCATGGCTATAACCAGGCTTGCCTGGGCCGCCTCCAGCAATAACATTTCATTAAAAAAAAAAAAATACTGATTTGGTCATTTTCTCCTTCCAGTGAAGCCAGGATGAAAGAGTAGACAGGAGCAGGGCCCACACACAGCAGGACGTGCACTGGGCAGGCCTGCTCCATGCAAAGGGGGCACGTGGTGGGCACTCTCGTTTCAGCCCCGCCCTGTACGGCTTTCCTCCTGATGCAGGGCTGGTGCACTGAGGGGCCACCGATGACGGGCTTGGGGCAAATACCTGGCTCCGGGGAAGTTGGGGATCTTGGCAGGGGGCAGGAGATTCCAGTTACACCCTGGCCACACCCAGGGGGTCCAGAACGCCTCCCAGGCCCCACTGCTTCTCGGCCACTTAGGGGAAGTAAGGCTCAGAGTCATCTGAGGTCAGAAGAAAGAGGTGCCAGCCTCGCCCACAGCAAAGAGAGGGCACAGGGATCCAAAGTCCCTCCAAGGACCAGGCCGCTGCCGCTGACCCACCCAGGGAGAGGCCACGCGGGACAACAGGTGGGGACAGTTTTCTCTAGGTTTCCAGTTTGAAAGGCATGGGGTTCGCCACCCTTGGCGGCGCCCACCTGGAGAAGAGTTAGCGAGAAGGGTGAGGACAGGGTGGGGACACAGGCATGGGGACACGGATTTGGGGTCTAGTACTCCCACAGCGTGGCAGGGTCGATGGTCTCAGCGCAGGCCTTCAGGACCCCTGCGTGGTCCCCCTTCAGGTAGCGCCCACCCACCTTGATGGCCACCTTGTTGTAGTCGCAGAACTCAAAGAAGAAGTCAACAGGGGTGTCACTGCTGCTGGTGACCAAGGAGTCACTGCCCACCATCCAGTACTTGCCTGTGGAGTCTGGGGGAGCAAGACCTTGTCAGGCCCTGCTCCCACCCTGCAACCATGGCTTCCAGAATAGAGGTAGGGTCCATTATGCCCAAGCCCTGCACCCTCCCATGCTGGATGGGGGTCCATCCTTACCCTCCTCACGCCCCCCCACAGGGTTTCAGTCTCATAGTTCAGGTGTCCCCCCACCACTGTTTCCAGAATGCTCGCCTCGCCCCTCTTCTAGCTCTGTCTGGAGTAGGCTGGGAAGTCTCCCTCCTGTACAGACTCTAAAAGGAGGAAGGGACGCTCCCAGCCTAGAGGCCCTGGTAGCCGCATGACATCTGTCCCTGTGGGGCTTGGGATGGCCCAAGCCAAGTCACAGGGTGGTCAGACTGAACCCCAGGACCACACAGGCCAGGGGCTCCCTTCTAAGCACCCAGACACTGCCCCCGCCTCCATACCCAGGAGACCCCACCCAGCAGCCGCCCCCAGGAGAACCTGCCTTTGATATTGTAGGCACCATCGTTGAACTCAAGCTGGAAGACGTCATAGTTGGAGCGGTTGGAGTCCAGGGTGCCCGTGACCTTGCGGCAGCCGATGAAGCCATGCTCCCCACGGAACACAATAATGGGACGGTTGATCAGCTTCATGAGGAAGAGCTCTGTGTCCCCTGTGCCAGGAAGGGGAGGGGCTGTGAGCCTCAGGAGGGCGCACCTGGGAGGCCCAGGGTATGGGCGAGCAGGAGACTGGGGTCACACAGCATGCCAGGGCTAGGGTGAGACTGGGCGGGGCCCATTCTGGGGGACACCAGCTCAGGGGACCTTGCTGTGTGACCATGCAGGGTTCAACTCTCCAGGGAACCAGAGCTTGGGAGTGCCCATAGGCAGCTACCTGCTGTCTCTACCGAGGCGGCCAGCTGCCCGTTCTTCTTGGCTGTCACAAACTTGCCATTGGACGCACGTAGTGTGATCCGCCGATCATGCCACTCAATGTCAAAGTAGCAGCTGGCATTCCTGGCAATGGTGGGACAGTCAGGTGGTGCTACCCCAGGCCCCAGGCCCACAGGAAGGGCCAGCCTAGCCAGCAAGAGCAGTGACAGGTGGGGGGCAGGGCACTTACTTGGTGGAGGCGGTGGACTGCACACCCCCCGTGGCCGTCAGTGTCCAGTACTTGCCCGTGTGAGTGCGGAAGGCACACTTTTTGGTGTCTCGGTCAATCTCCAGCTGGAAAGTCTCCTGGTCGGTCTCTTCATCCTGATTGGCCGACAGGTCCATACCTGCAGGAAGAGCCTCCAGCTGGTACCCACAGCCCTGCCCTCACACATCAGCACACGCGGGGCTGCCAGACCCCACAGCCTGCACACCAGAGGGCGGAACCCAGGACCTATGCAGGGGCAGCCCTGGGGCAAGGCCGGCCCCCTGTTTTCATATCACTTTCTCAGCAATCTGGAGAATCATAACATGCGTGGCCCAGGATTAGAAATTAAGCATTAATTACTGTTAACCATGTTGTGGTTATGTAAGAAAAGGGCCTCATTTTTTAGAGATAACAGACAGAAACATTTCAAGATGAAATGCCCTGATGTCAGGAATTTGCTTTTTGCTTTAAGTACAACCAAAAAACAGTGACTACAGGGACAGGTGGAGAAAATGGCAGAATACTGCTTGTGGGGGAGACAGAAGGGGGGCTTCATCACATCCTTCCTGCTTCTGTGTACATGTAAGAGTTAAAAAGAGTAAATAAAACTGGACAGCACACGGTCCTTTCAGGAAATTTGGGAAACTAAGGCATAAGCATGAATCCACACCTCTCCCATTGCCCACTGCACCCCAGAGGAGCACCCAGGACGGGAAGAACGGGTGGGTTTCCCCGGCAGACACTGATGCTCCCTACAGATCTGCATATTATCTGCATCGTTTTTGCATACCCGAGCTGACTCCTCCAGCTAAAACCTGGAACTGGCATCTTGGTTCCAACAGAACGAATTCACATTCCCCAAGCACCCTGGACTCTAAGAACCACAGCAACAGGGCTGTCTGCCACAGAGTGCCACTGCCTGGGTTGCAAGTGTGTCACCATTTGGGCCTTGACTCCTTTATGAGTGGCAGGTATCCCTTCAGACGAGGAGCTGGAGGCTGGCAGGCAGCAGCACAGCCAGGGTCTGACAGCACCCTCCCCAGGACCTGTCCTTAGTGCTCCAGCCACCACTCAGAGGGCCTGAAAGGGATCAGCCCCTTCTTAACCTGATCACATCCCCACATCAGTGCGAAGGGGTGGGAACCTTCACCCCCACATCAAAGAAGGAGACTGAGGCAGAGGCGGTGTGTCCTTGCCCAAGGCCACCCAGACAGAGAGGAAGGGGTCCTGGTGGCTCTCAGGAGGGAGATGAGCAGACTCAGGTGCCTGCCGGGGCCTCTGACCCAACCCCTGCCCCCTATAGACTATTGGGGCATGTTCTCCATGGATTCTCAGGACCTTGAGCCACACCCTCTCAGAACCCCTTGAGCTCAGCCCTTCAGGCTTGCTGGGCCCCCTTGGCCCCAATGTCAGGGATCTGCTGATGACTCCAGACCTGGGCTGTGAGCTGGACTCACCATCACACCCCAGTGAAGCCCTGGGTGAGCACGGGTCAGAAGGGGCTGGGCCTGCAGGGTGCCTAAGTCATAACCAAGAATAGAACCATCCTAAAGCCACACCTGGGAGCACAACTTGGGGCTGGGGTTCCCCCCCCCCCTTGCTCAGACCTCACCCAGTAAACCTGCCGACCTGCCCCACCCCTGCTTTGCAGAAACTCACCTGTCCCACGTGTGGTGTGCTGGCTGACAGGAAGGAAGGGGACAAATGAGGAAAAGCCCCACCGAGTATACCTCAGCAGCAGAAAAGACAGGGGAGGGCTCCCCAGAAAGGGGCAAAGGAGACAGGGAAGGGACCTGGAGTAGAAGTTCAGCCTCCAGCTCAGCCTCAGCTTGGGGTTCAGAGGGCTCGTCTTAACACAGCCTTGCAAGAAAATAAGGCGCTCAGTGAGACTAGTTACTGAGAGCTTAGCCTGGGCCGCCGCTGTGCTACCTGTGGACATACACTGGCTTACCCACACAGTTACGACTAACATCCTCCCCCAACAGAAGAACAAAGGCACGCTCTGCAGTGGACATTACTTGCCCAAGGACATACGATCACCATCTGCTCAGTTATTCAGACCCCATCGGCCTGATGTGTCCGGTCCTGGAACTGGTTTGAAAAAAAGGCACAGACCAGCCAGTGAGGTACCCAAATCCGGAGCCAGGCACCCTTGGGTGAGTACCTTCCCCTCACTGGGGCTCAGTTCCCCTCTCTGCCTGTCAGAAGGGTCCAGTCTCTCCATTCTGCCAGGAGATTGAAAGCATTTAGGGACCTGGTGCCAAGCAGACACCAGAGCTTCCAACCCCAAAGGGAATGGGTGGGGTAACGAGAGTTGTCCCCCCTACCATCCTGCAGGGCCCCTCCTCGCTCCAAGGCCCTGCCCAGGCGGGGAAGGCCCCTCTTGGCCTTGGAGTCTCTAATTAGAGCTGGGTTACTATGGAAACAGGGTTTTCTTTGGGATTTTTCTTTTCATCAACAGCAGCACAGAAAACCTGAGTCACAGGCCCACAGGAGATGCAGGAGCATTGAGCCCATGGGCACCTCACCACTCCCTCCTGAGAGCCCTAGGGAGACACCCAGAATCTCCCCCCACCCCTCTCTATCATGGCTTTCTTTCTTTTTTTTTTTTTTTAAGATTTTTATTGGGGAATGGGAACAGCGCTGGGGAATTGGGGGAAGGGGAACAGACAAGTTCCTGTCCTTTTGTTCTTCAGTCTAGTTGTGGAGGACATCGCTTCACTAGCCCAAGTTGGCACCATCATTGCGCTCTTCCTGGGCGGGGCAGATCAGTCATCGGCTTCTGGACGGCTGCTCACAGTGGCTGCTGGCCACTCACGCTGGCTGCTGGCTACACATGGTAGCCCATGGCAACCCACTGCAGCAGAGGCTGCAGCCCAGCTCCAAGTTGAGCTGTTGTTCAGCATCTTAGCTGTGGAGGGCAGTGTCACTGGCCCTCATATGTGGGATCCGAACCGGGGGTCTCTGGCGTCCCAAGCCAGCTCTTAACCAACGCACCACTCGGCCGGCCCTATCAAGGCTTTCCCTGTCCCCATCCCCTGAGCCATTCTCTGGTGGATCAGAAGGGGCCCCCTCTCTGCCTAACACACCCTCTGGTCCCCATCCTCCTCGGCCTTAGTAGTTCCCCAACTACCCAGGCACTCACTCCCTACCACCCACACCCCCATTCAGTTTAGGGGACGGGGTGTGGAAGCATCTGTGACCTCTCCCCGCTTTCCAGTCAGCTCTTGCCGTCCTTGCACAAGCCATTCATTCCCTAGGCCTGAAATGCCCTGCCTCATCAGAACTCTTACACATCCTGCAAAGCCCAACTTGACCAGCCCTTCCTCAGCCAGCCAGCCTCACCTTCAAGTAGCAGGGACACGGCACTTCCTGAGTGTGGAGTACCCAGAGCACAGCTGGCCAGATGCAAGGAGGCTCTGGGACCAGCTGGAAAATGTGGTGAGACACAGCCCAGGGTCTGGCTGAAGCCCAGGGCTGGTGAGGTTCCCAAGGCATCCCTGCTCTCCTCCACCCCTGCCCAAGCCATGTCCTCATCTGTGAAGTGGTCACAGCTATACCACTTCCCAGGACCTGGGATGGAAATGTGCCATCTGCCTCACATCAGCTCTCAGGCACCAGGACCCCCACTCCCTGGTGGCCAACCCTGCCTCTAATGGTGGTTGTGATGGCCTCCTCCCAGAAATGAAGCCTGGCTGAAAGAATGTGCCCAGAGCCAGCCCTTTACAGATGGGGAAACTGAGGCAGGAGAGCAGGCTGCTGCCTCAGCAGGGAGCACCCCGCCCCCACCAGGCGGCCTGCACAGGCCTGCAGGGATGATTCACATCCCCCAGCCGCTAAGCCGGAGATCCTCCTTCTTCCTGGCTGGCATTTCCCATGTGTCAGAAGTGCAGCCGCTGCCACGCGGGCCTATCCAAAATGGCCTCTGTCCCCCCTTACGCCCCCCATACCTGATGCTAGCTCGGGGTCCTGTGCTCATCCTCCATCCCACCAGGAAAGCCCAGGCTCAGCGAACATAAGAACAAAATGAGGACCAAGAAGCCAATGGAGCCCTAATCGCAGCCCCGGAAAGCTCCCCCCGCCCCCCAGTTCCATGTCCCCTTAAACTCATAGCTGAGCCAATACTTCTCTTGGCCCAATTTCCAGCCACTCCTGCCCCATCAGCCTGAATCACACCATGACACCTCAGCAAGCTTTACTAGAGAGGAGCTGGCATCTGCCCAGGGGGCCAGTGGCTGCCAGAAACATTCTCAGGCTCACCCTGGGCTTTCTGCTTCCTTCCTGCCTCGGGGCCTTTGCATAAGCTGTGCCTGCAACACAGTTCTACACCTGGTTCATGCTACCTTCTATTCATTCTTCAGGTCAGCGTAGGTGTCCCCCTCAGAAAGGGAACCCCCCCAATCTAATCTAGATCCCTGACGTACTTCTTGGACCCCAGGCCTTTTCTTGACACCTCTGGAATGTTGGTCATGTCCCAGTGAGAACACAAGCCCCACCAGGGAAGGGTCCAGGACATGCCCAGTTGTTCACCACGCAGGCCTCTGCATTTCACATTTGGCATGGCTCAATGTCTGCTTAACAGGTGGGGGATCCAGCCCCACCCAGCACTATGCGAGACCTTAAGGGGAGGCCCACGTGTGCACGGAGGCTGGGAGGCACCAGGAGGTCCAGATAAGAGCCCACTCTGGAGTCAAACAGACCCAGTTCTGCATGCTGTTTCCTAGCTGTGTGACCTTGGGCTTCACCTCTCTGGGCCTAAACCCACCCATCTGTAGGAATGGAAGCCATATTTGCCCATGTCAGTCAGCAAACTTAGGTACAAAACTGCCTTTACCCCACCAGGGCCTCCACCTGAACTGCCATGGAGCTGCAACCCGCTTCGAGGAGCCCAGTCAGGAGGGTGGCCATCAGGAGGAAGGCCTCCCTCCGCAGGAGAGGGGGCCACTGACTGGGCTCCCATCCAGCTACCTCAAGAGGCTGGGGTCTAACTTCCCATCTAGGGGAGCAAGACCCCCACAAGTCCCTCTAGTGGGGCTTCTGGCTGCCAGGAATCAACTGCCTTCACCAATGGGGGGGCGGGGACATCTGAAGGAAGAGAAGCCGCTTGGGGGAGAATCTAAGGAAGTAAAGAGGGGGGCGCACTTCTGGCGTGCAGGCCTAGAAAATGGCCAGGCCACTGGGAGGCCCTAGGAGAGGCCGCATCGAGTTGCAGCCAACTGTTCCAGGCGGGAGCCTTGGGGTGGGTTCACTCGAGGGTAGGGAGCTTCCCTAGGGATCCGCGCTGGGATCTCCAGACTTGCGCCGAGGCCATCCTCGGACGCCCGCAGAGCAGCGCGCACCGGCCTGGGGATGCGCGGCGGGCGCAGGGCGGGGTGCCTGGCTGGCCGCCATCCGCGCCACGCCGCCCGGGGCCAGGGCGCGAGGAGGGAGGCCGTCTCCTAGGGAGGCTCCTGCCCGGGAAACTGGGCCCGAGGGCGGCGTGCGGGGATCCTCAGTAGGGGGCAGCCGTAGGAAGTCGATTCCCCTCCCCCGCCCGGCCGCATCTGGTTTTCCCATCTGCAGGACAAAGGGGGCGAGGGAGGGCCCGGTCGAGGAGCCCGCCCCCCTGCTCACAAAGGCCGCGGCCTCAACGAGGGCAGACGCGGGAGGAGGGGCTGGGGGGGAAGGGCAGACACTCGGGGGCCCCCACCCCAGCAGAGGCCAACCCCTCCCGGCAGAGAGGGGGTGGGGAACGGCCTGGAGGGCAAGGAGGTGGAAGAACACCCCGCGGAGATCAAAGACTCCCCCTCCCGCCCGCGAACTGCGACCCCGTGGGGGCTGGAGGCGTGCCCTTGGCGTGTTACGACCCTCGCCTCCGCCCTCACCAAGGGCTGGGCCCGCAGATTCAAGGGATCTGTGCGCGTGGGGGGACCCAGATTCGGCAGGGGGATTGGAGGATGGCACACACATCGGCGCTTATGCGGGGCCTGGAGCCCCAACCCCAGCACGGGGTGGGGGTTGTGCAGCGGCGCCCAAAGCTGGGCAAAAACCCACCCCTCGCCCCCTCCTCAGGGCCCGAGCGCACGTCCCGAGAAGGGACGAGGTGGCCCGCGCGCCTAGCGGGGGCGCACCGGGCGTTGCTCGGGATTGCAGCGGCGCCGCGAGCGAGAAAGGGCGGGAGGCTGGAGGGCCGGGGGTGGAGTGCGCTTTGTGCACGCACCGGGAGAGGCGGGGGCGGCGTCCCCACTCACCCTGGCGCGTGGACACGTTCCTCTCGTTGGCCGCCTGCAGCACGACCTGGGCGCAGCTCTGCTCCAGGGCGAAGAGCTCGTCCTTGCCCACCTTGGTGGCCTTGCCTGCCTTGAGCGTGCCGCTGGGCCCCGACGGCGCCAGGTAGCGACCTTCGCAGTCGCGGAAGGCCACCTTGCCAGAGCGGAATTCCAGCGTGTAGCCGGTGGCGGGCTCAGGGCGCGCCACCAGGCGCCCGTCGTGGCGCAGGAAGCGGTGGTCGGAGGTCTGCACGCTGTAGCGCTGGTCCTGGAAGGCCAGCGTGATGAGCGAGTCGACGCCCCAGGGCACGTCGCGGTCCACCGCGATCTCATCCGCCGGCCGCGCGCTCAGGTGCGCGTAGCGCTTGCGGGTCAGGCTGTAGATGTTGACCTGCGGGTGCATGGCGATGTGCACGCTCCATTTCTCCGCCGGCGACACGGTCTGAGCGAAGCACGACAGGCGGTCCTCGGTGCCGCCAAAGTAGCGCCGGTGCGCCTCAGACTGCAGCGACCAGCGGCCGTCGTCGTGCGCCACGATCAGAAAGCGGCAGTCGGCGCTGGGCACCTCGCGCTCGCAGGTCACGTTGCCGTCCTTGTCCGCCGCCAGGTAACGGCCCAGGTGGCTGCGCAGGCACACGGCCGCGCTGCCCGCCTCGTCGGGCGGCTGCTCCAGTGTCCAGATCTGCTTCTTCTTGAGGCTGCTGGCCGACGCGTTCACCTTGAACCCGAACGCCTCGGCCGTCAGGTACTTGTTGCCGCAGTTGATGAGGCCGAATTGGATCTGTACTGCCTCGGTCGTGCCGTTGGCGGTCATGGTGGCGGCGGGCGGAGGGCCCGGCGCAGCCCGGGAGGTTGATGGCGGGTCCCCGCGGTAGCGCCCGGCTCCTTTGTTCAGCGGCCGCGGTCCAGCGCGCACCCTCCGCAGCGCTCCACAAAGCCGGCCCGGGCGCCCCAGCCTCTTTATAGGCGGGGTGACGTCAGCGCCGCGAGGCTCCGCCTCCTCCCGGGGCTCGGCGTGGGAGGGGTCGCGGGGGCGAGGGAGCCAGCTCAGCTGCGCTGGAGCCTCAAGGGCGCGGGTGGCGGCTCGGCTCGCAGCGTCCCCTCCTGCTGCACAGTGGGCCTCTGTAGGCCCCCCCCCACCTCGG